TGGCTGTCCACTTTGGCGGTGGATGGACTGCTTCCCCGGCACTTCTAATCGTGCCCACTTTGCATTTGGCCGTGTGAGCGGCTCACGGGTGGGGAGATTTATGCTTCATCGAGTAACACTTGAGAATGCGTCCTGAAGGAGCTGTTCTCCAGCGTCCCCTCCAGGGGATGCACCACTCAGGCCGACGGCAGAGCGCCTTCTCAGTGTCCGGGCCCTCTTGCAGGTTTCCGTACCTTTGCGGGGCCGAGACCTGGGTTTTGGAAACCTAGACTTTCCGAAGCAGGTGGCACCCTCGGCCCACAAGAAGTCATGTGAAAAGAGGGTTCCTCGCCCAAGTAGGTCTGGGAGTGCGCGGGCTCACGGGGAATTAGTGCAGACGTTCCGGCCGTGGCCGCCGAGCGGGTAGCGGACTGGCTCCAGCCACAAGCAAGCACAAGATGTGGTTTGGCTCTACTCGGGCAGAGCACGAGGCTGTGGCCCCGGGGAGGCGTGGCAACTGTGGAGCGAAGAACAGGACCCGTGGTCAAAGTTTATGGCAAGACAAGGCATAAGGCACTGCAGAGGGGGTAGCCGTGCAGAGAAGGGGCCCAGCACACCGTGGCTGAGGCCCGAGCCGTCTGGGCCCAAGGCCGCCCCACTCAAGGCTCACGCGGTGGCAATGCGGGGGTGCGGTGCCCACGTAGAGAGAGCTTGCCAACACCATCAGCATCCAGGCCAGACTCCACAGAGGCCGTTCCTGACGGAAGGACCCCAGGCTCAGATTCGACCTACTGCAGACCCGCCCTAAATAAAGCCGAAATCAAGCTCAAACTATCTCCAGAGGTGGAGTTTGGAGGTCGGTCCCCACCGAGTCGGAGGGACCCTGACAAAGTGTGAAACCAGGTTCACGCAGGGCGTGCTGATCAGCTGGTATTAGAACAAAAAATCCATTCTCTTCAAAGAATCCAGTGTCGATAGCACGTTATCCACAATGTCTAGCGTTTGGTCTAAAATCACAGATCTATAAACAGGAAAATATGATCTGTGCTTAAAAAGAAGTTGTCACAAGAAACCAAACCCTTGGTGCCAGTTAATCTCTGGGCCTGGAGGGGAGTTGTGGTGTCTTGTTCTCATGCCCACCTCCAGACGGTTCTTCCTCCTCCCTAAAGACCTCCCGCCACGCAGCCTGGTGTGCTCACTCCACCCCGGGGGCCTCACCCCTCCCTTCCTTGAAGATGTCAGGACTTGCTCCCACCCAGCACTGCCCCTGCCACGCGCGGTCCTTGCTGCTCTCCGAGTCCGTGTAGGTGTCCCAGGGGCCTGGCGCCTCCTCACCCCCCCGAAAGTCACGGTTGCTGACACCCCCCCTGATGGACCC